TTATTTTGAAAAAGAATTATTAAGCATTGAATACAAATATCTATTCAATTTTATGTCTGATAATTTATTTTTTTAGGTCACTCTTGAAAACAAGACTATTTTTATTTGTAATCCTTATTCATCCAGGCACATGTCTCTATTTTCAAAATTAGAGTAGGATTCAATTATATTGAGCACAACAACTAACAAGTAAAGCTCTGTATTACTTTAAAATAATACTATTTTAGTTTTATCATTTATGGAGTAAGAGTTATTTAAAGGAAATGAATCACTTATTCATTAAAATTACTACACATTGATGATTTATAGATTTTAAGTAACTTCCTTATCAAATCCTTCTTCTATCTAATGAACACCTTTATAAAGTCTTACTTACTTATCAAATTTACAATACTATAAAATGTTACTTAAAAGGAGGTAAGGGTAGATGCTGAAGATATTAATTTTTAACATCATTCATTTACAAAATATTTAAATATCTAAAGGTAGATAATAGGATGTTATTTGTTTGACCAAATTACCGAATTTTTTTGAAATAATATTAATTCCTCCTTATTTCTAACTTTAAACAAACTTTTCTTTACATTAATCACACCTATTAACAATAATTATTTCAAATTATAGAGTAATTTGCAAATATCAATATTAAATAGTTTATTAGAATATAATTGTTCTAAAACTTATGATTATTCTAGTTATAATTTTTCAGAGTGCTAAAAATCAATTTCAAAAGGAAATCAATTATTGTCTATTTGTTGAAATTCAGCTGGATAATATTATATAATATTTTAAATTGATTCTCTTGGATATGCATCTATTTATAAAATAAACTTACTTGCATAACAGTTTAAAAAATTAATTAAGGGGATGACTTATTGTATAAATGTATTACATAATCTTGATAATATTTATTGAATATCCACAATGAAGATTTTATCTAGATAGTAGAATATTAATCCGAAGATTTTTCTGCTTTCTCTTCATATTAGAATTATATTATTGATAATTCCTAATAAAGTATTGTTGTGCTTATTTTCGATTCATATTACTAACTGTACTATTCAATGATGATTTTGGGTGAAAATTAGTATTTTTTTTAAAAAGGTAGATCTAGATTAGTATTAAGAAGTTTTTAATCATAATTTTTAATTTTTGTTCTAATAAATTACTAACTTCAATCAACAAAGATCTAAACTTTGACTTATAACCAGTTTTATTAATCAAACAAATTGGATATTAATTTTTATAAAAAACCTAGAAAAATAAAGTTTAAGTTTTCATAATATAATTGGCACAATCCCACCATATGGTAAATGAAACTTTGTTAATTTATTAATATTAATATAAGTTATTTATTGCAAGTTTGGGATGAAAATTAATAAAGCATTTAAGAATGGAACCATTAATACTTTAAAAAAAAATTCTATTATTTATTATTAGTTTAAAAATATAACAAAACTTGTATATTTAGCTCTAAATATAGCATTACATGTATATTTAGAAATAAATAAGCATAAATTAATGTAAAATTGAATTGCTATAATGATTTTTCAAGAGGAGAATTTAAATTTTCATATTAATTAACTAATTTGGAAAACAAAGTAACACTAGTATTATACTCTGCTTTCTATTATTATCATTCTTTTAATAAGTTTTTATTTTTTGGTAAAATAGAAAACCAAAAATATGAATTAACTTATTAGTGAAATAGAATTATGAATTTATTATCAAAATATTGTATGAAATTTATATTTAGTATTGTTATAAATTTTAGAATAAAATAAATAATATTTAATGTGTGAACTAATTTAATAATTCAATTTTAAAGATCGTTATCTAAGAGCATGAATTCTGTATTCTTTACTTAATATAATTAGTT